GAAGACCAGAAGAGGGCATCAGACACTTCAGAGCTGAAGGTACAGGTGCTGGGAGATGAACTTCAGTCCTCTGCAAGAACAGCAAGTACTCCTAACCACTGAGTCATTCTTCTAGTCTCATCAAGTTACCTTAAATTCTCCACACCTCCTAAACCCCTACCTTGAAGGCACTCTCTGTTGCCATTTCCATCATCACCTCACATAGGGCTCACTGCAGCATCTTCACAGGATGTAGCAGTACGTCCTGTACACAGTTGCCTTGTTAATTTTCCAGTTTCAAAACAATGATTGATGCTTCGAAGCCCTTGTTTGACCAAATCCATCTAGTTCAAACTCCTTACAAGCTCACACCGTTTCTCCTACTGCCTCTAAGGTAATGTGAGTTTCTTTCTGGCTGCCTTTCCCCCTCACACCTCTCAAGACTCATAACCACCCCTCTTCTTCGCTCATATCACTATAGCCCTTCCTGCTGCAATGGAACCTTCAGTTGATAATCCTAGCTCATTAAACTTTCCCTTTCTCTAAAATTCTTTTTTTGTTTGTTTGTTTTTTTGAGACAGGGTGTCTCTGTGTAGCTTTGTGCCTTTCCTGGATCTCACTTGGTAGCCCAGGCTGGCCTCGAACTCACAGAGATCCGCCTGGCTCTGCCTCCCCAGTGCTGGGATTAAAGGTATGCACCACTACCACCGGCTTTCTCTAAATTCTAAAGTCCATGGTGTACTGGCTCTAGAGAGAAAGAGAGGTTCGGAATCTCTGACCTATACTGTTTACTAGTAACTCTCACCACAGCAGATTTCAAGCTGCCAATATGGCATTTCCACTTTTTGAAGTTAGAGGGATTGCACAATACCAGCAGGACCCAGCCCAGCAGCACTCACAATCTGGTCTATAAGCTAGAGCTTAACACATGCCGTACGCCCTCTAGCTGCATTATATGGGTTGGTTTACACACTGCAATAAACTAGCCCTAGGAAGTGAGCAGTGTATGGGACACAGTGTGTATGCTCAAATAGAAACCTGTTGGCACCACCTGGGGCAATATGATAAGCCAAAATTGGAGTAGTGGATGTGATCTCATTTAGGGTTGGTTAGCAAGAACAAATAAAAGAACAATGAAGGAGTAAACTGGAATGGAAATAAAAATCAGAGTGGGAGCCGGATATCGGTTATGTCCCAGCTTTGCACCTATGTGGCCCTTAGCAAGTACATTCCCTTCCTAAACCTTACATTTATTTCCTCCTCCATCCAGGGTGGTGACACACACTAGAAATCCCAGTACTTAGGAAGCCGAAGGTTCCAGGGAAGCTGGGCTATATAATGAAACCCTGTCTCAAACAGCAAAAGTAGGGGAAGTTCCCTCATCTATTTAAGGTCACTTCTAAAATATGTCTTCAGTGCTTTGGGATATGGGTTAAACAGACAGAAGAAGCCCCTGGTCTTCTGCACTCTTAACAGCAATGAAAATACAGTCATTGTAAAAGCTGGCAAGTCAAAGGAACACAGGGCAACAAAACTTCCCTAAGGCATGAAGAACATTCTGGCCAATCCATTCACTCTTTGCCTCAATCAACCTACCGGAAAGATACAAAGACATAATGTCTCAGAGCCGCCGAGGAGATGGACCAGTGGATAAGAGCATTTGCTATGCGAGCCAGAGTTTGCCTTCTGGGCGCCTATGTAAAGGGCCAGGTCTGGCTACTTAGTGTTGTAACAGCCAGCGCTGTGAGGGGTGGAGACCGGAGGATCAGTGGGGTCGGCCGGCTGCCAGCCTAGCTCCAGGTTCAGTGAGGGAATAAAGTAGACATCTTACGTCCTTCTCAGGGCCTCACATGGGCACAAAATGTGTACACAAACATCTGCATACAACACACACACACATTTAAATAAAGATACAATGGTTTAAAAGTTGTATCTATTTTATTTAGCTTTCAGGAGAAAAGAGATGTGAAAACTTACCTTATATTTGCACAACCCAAGATATATCCTAGTGTCCTGCCATCAAAGCAATGTGTACTAAGATACTGATAAGGGCTGAGAATTTAGTAAATACAAGACAAAGCTAATCTGGTGCTCAGGGAAGCCACAGCAGTTCCGGTGAGAAGCTATTTGGCCTCCAACTCTTCTATTATTGCTTCTTAAAAGAACCCACACTGCTCTGAGAAATGGATGGCAGCCACAGCCCCTCTCTCTGACTAGTACACAATCATAAACATCAGAACGCGATTTCAGAGGTTCACAAGACCTCTCCTCTGTGATGGTGTCCAAATATTGCAAGTCAACCACTCTGACCTATACCTCTAACTACGTCCACACAACAACAAACAACGAAAGTCCGTGAAGCCTCCTCTATACTGTTTGCAAAGGGAGTTTACCCAGGACCACCAACGGAGGCTGTTAAAGCACAGCTCGACTTTGGAAAACGAGTTGGGGGTACCTAAAACTTCATCCACCCAGAAGAGCACCTTATTCCGAATAATATTCTGGATAAGAAAATAACGCCCAAGTTAATTTTTTTTTTTAAATGTGGAAGGGTGTTCTACCTGCTTGTGTGTCTGTGCATCACATATATACAGTGTTCTTAGAGGCCAGAAATGGCTGTCAGATCCCTAGGACTGCAGTTATAGATGGCTGTGAGCCACCATATGGGTGCTGGGAATTGAACTCAGATCCTCTGGGTGAGCAGTCAGTGCTCTTAACCAGTGAGTCATCTGTCCAGCCCCAGATTAAAATTCTAACTGAACCATCATAAACGTGGTCAATGTTATCTATTGAATCACTTTTGGTTCTCGAAAATCCATTTGCCTGTGAAAGTGTACTCCTACTTCACAAACATATCAGCATTTCATGACTTCCAGCTCACATGAAGGAGGCCCAACTGCACTTGGGAGGATCTCTGTGAGTTCCAGGCCAGCATGGTCCACACAGTGAGTTCCATGCCAGCCAGAGCTACACAATGAATATCTCAAAAAACCAAAAAGAAGCCCCAACTAGTCATGTGACAGTTACTTACACACGCAAATATCCCAGTAAGCAGCAGCAGCAAAGAACACGATAACACAGATTCACTGCCTCCCTTTGGCACTCACATTTTTGACTAAGTGCTGGACAAGTTTATTTAGCTTTGTGACTTAGGTTTATTTCTAAAGACAGGAGGGAATGATAAGACCCGAGGGGGCTGCTGTGGGAACCAGATAATGATGTGAAAGTGCTTAGTAATAAAACAGGCAAAAGTAAAAGAAATCATTGGAAGGTGCTCATAACACATCACCTATTCACAGATCACTTGGAAACAGTTGCTCACAAAATCCTTGGTCTGCCATCAAATGTTTCCCTACCAGAAGTAAAATAAATTGTTGCTAAATCGTGCAAGGAATTCTGTCTTGGTTAGAGCCCAACAGCGACATTACAAAACATCAGAAATCTGCGGAGACACTTTAGATTTCCATGATGTGTCCTACAATCTCAAAGTCTACAAAAGTAACTACTGTCAGAATTTCTTCAAGTATTTAGTGGTTTTTTTAAATAACTCACAGATTGTTTATCCTTTTGCTTGCACTGTTGAAAACTTTATAATACTTATTAAAAATGTACACAAGAGATTTTAGATGAATTAGACCCTAACTTACAGAAATCAAAACCAGTAATAGAATGAGGGCTCTCTCTCTCTCTCTCTTTCTTTCTTTCAAGCAGAGTGGGTGTTAGTGTTTGAGGGTATAATGTGGTCCCATTGAAACATGTCTACAAGTCGGTAAAATCTAACCTTTCATTGGCTATCCCTCAAAAGTATGCAACTATTTTACATTTGCTATTCTTTGCATTGCTTCATTTGCATTTACAATGTACATCTGCATTACCACAATAGCAAAAACGTGGAGCTATTCTTTCTTTAAAATTAAATAACTCTTCAGTGATTTGATGCCGTGGAACAAAAGATCACTATATATCATGAAAGTTCATAAAGATGATCAAAAGAGTAAGTTACCCACTAAAGACCCTCAAGATTCAAGCTGCAAGCCCTCTGATTTCTCAACCGTGATAATTCCAAGGCTCTCTAGATTTCCTCAAGGTGGGACAGACTCGAAAAAACCCAAATGCTCCAATGTTTTCTAAGAAAACAGGCTACGGAGCTTGTATTAACATAAATAACACTTTCCCCTAGGAAAGTCGAAGCACCTAATGGCACTATTGTTTAAAAGTAATGTCTTCCCACTCACATCTTAAGAAAACAGCTACTTGTATTCTGTGAGCTCTTCAGGTCCCTCACCTAAGGACGGAGGGACAAGTGTCTGAGGAGGAAGGCTCAACCAGAATAACGGATGGGGGACATTTCGGGTGGAAAGCAGAAGTTCCAGAGATAACTCTGAGCAAGCGCTCACAGGATAGGAGGACGAGGACCAGGTGGAGGCATCAAGGCACTAACTTCAGATGAGAGCTGAGTGGATGAGATCCAGATGCCAGGGTCTCCCCAGCATCCCCCCCCCCCCGGTCCCCGGCCCCCCACGGCGGCAGTTAAGTAGGACACCCCCACGGCGGTGATGCCCCCTCCTGCCGCCCGCAGCCCCGCGTCTCACCAGCCGCCAGGCGCAGGCCGCGGAGGCTCCCCATGGCCGCCTGCTCCGCCGACGCACAGCAGCCCTGCCCGGGCGGCCGCGGCGCTGGCGCTCAATGTCACCGAGCGCCCGCGTGGGCAGGGCAGGGCGCTGACGGGGTGGGCGGGGCGAGCGCGACGCGGCGGGCGTGAGGGACGTGCGGGAAGGGTGGAGGACCGGGCCCGGCGCCTGGCCTGCCCGGGCATGAGGCCCGAGGAGGAAGGGGGATGCCTGCCAAGTGTGCCGTGCTGAGTGGGGGTTGAGGACGGTACCAGCGAATCACGCACGCGGAGGGACTCGGAGGCCAGGGCCCTACGGCGTGCTGGCTCCTGGAATGTCCCCGAGGGAAGCCTGCTTTCCACTTATTTACAACAACAACAACAACAACAACAACCATTTAGTCGTTCTCACCGCTTGCCCACCCTCACCGTCCCAGACGCCCTTCTTTCTCGACGCTTCTTCGGGGTTCTCGTTCCTCCGTCACAAGCACCCCTCTGCTCTAGGAACGGAGGGGAAAGGCTTGGAGGAGGGCGAGCCCCCTCCCCGCTCTCAGCTACCAGGCTCGCACGACTTGCTGTCAGGCAGCACCGCGGACACCTCTGCGCCGCGGTGATTGGCCAGCTGCGGGGGCCTCGCGGTCGTCCAATATGGCGGCGCCCAGTGGCGGTGTGAACTGTGAAGAGTTCGCCGAGTTCCAGGTGATGAGGTTTTTTCCTCACGTGGCGAGCTTGTCCGGCCTTTTGTCCCCAGATCCTAATTCGGGCTTTGGCCTGGGAGGGAGTCTAGGCAAATTGTGGGGAAATCAGGCGGCTCCGAGCTTTTTTTTTTTTTCTTTCAGGGGCACCTCTGGAGGTCATGGGGGCTAGGGGTGGCCTTGGAAAGCGAAGCTGCTCCGGGCAGGGAGGTGCCTGAGGTCCTCCGGCTCACTCCGGAGTGGTAAAGCCGAGCTCGGAAGCTGTGGGTAGGGATTGGAACAGTTCAGCACTTCCCTGAACTTAGTTCCCAGCTTCTGCCAATCCTCTCCCACTTCTAAGTTGAGCTTTTGTGGGAGAGGAAGAAGTGAAAGAGGCCTTGTATAGCTGATAAAACAACATATTTGGCATGGTGTCCTGTTTTGGTGAGGCAGATTATTTGGAAGCTTGGAGGGAGGGTTAATTCTAATATCAGGTCTGTGCTGTTACCTTCTTGATCCTGACATTTAAGGGGAAAAATGTATCTTTTTGTACTAAAAATGTCAAAGGTCCAGAACTTAATACTCACCCAAGAATTCAAGAATAATGATCTGGATGTTGATCAATTCGGAAGTTACCGGTGACGTGTTCTGTTATTACAGTTGAATTGAGAAAAAAAGCACAACCTTTAAAAGTGTATTTTTAGCTAAAGAGAGTGAAAATTCGTTTCACATGTCATCGTTGACCTAGCTGTAATCTTAATACTTTGAGTAGTTTGTAGGTAGTGGTATTCTTGAAGAAAACCTCATCAAATCAATTTATTTGACAAACAATTTTGCCAGGAGATTTAATAATTAATATCCGAGTTAAAAGTCAAAACACCTGATTCCCCAGAACCGGCCTTAGTGTGTGTTTAAACCTCTTTGTAAATAAGCATTATTTTTTTGCACTTCTTCGCCGATAGGACCAGAACATCCATGAAGATGCTATAATAATGTAAAACGTTAGGATAGCTTTTAATTCTAGATGAATTTGGTAAAATTGTAAGACATGGTTGACTGGAATTCTCAAATTGTTAATCAGAGTTTACATTCTTAAGAGCTGTTAGATCATTTTGTAAGTCTCCTAACTATGGAAAGCCCTGCACTGAATACCAGAGGAAAGAAACTGAAACTTAAGGTTTTTTGTTTGTTTGTTTTGTTTTTATTGTAAATATTAGGTAGGATTTTACCCCATAATTATGAGGTGTTGAAAGAATTGTACTGTGAATGCTCCTGTACCCACTGTCTAATTTCTGTAGGCAGTGATTTGCTATTTTCTGCCCTGACTGTGTTTTTATTTTATGCGCACTGGTGTTTTGCCTGCATGTATGTCTGTGTGAGGTTGTCAGATCTTGGAGTTATAGACAGTTATTAGCTGCCATGTGGGTCCTGGGAATTGAACCTAGGTCCTCTGGAAGAGCAGTCAGTGTTCTTAACCTCTCTATCTCTGACTGTATATCTATTTATTCACCTCTCAATCCACTTAGTTTACCTTTTAATTTGAGGAGTTTCAAAGTCAGTTGCAAAAATTGAGTACTTTTAAATATGCTGCATGCATATCATTATCTGGAGTTCAGTGTTTGCTTACTAATTTGGAGGGCTATATTTTGCATATGATGTAGTCAACAGGTATTTACAAATACTTGTCATAGTTTGACGCTGACATATACTTGTAAGGCAAACTTCTATCAACATCGAAATGGAAAAGTTTTCTGATGGGCTTTCCTGGGCAATCCCTGTGCCTTTCTGTCCAGTTCCAACTATTAGTTTATTTTGGTTTTGTTTTCACACAGCCGTGTGTTTTAAGCTTAAAAGATTTTTAAAGAGTTTTAACTTTTTGTATCTCCCCCCCAACACACACTGCATTGTAGCACTTCCAGAAAATACCCTATCTCCAAAGTGAAATAGAATCCAAAAAAGAAAATTTAAAATTGAATGCTTCAAATCTCATTTTAATAACATACATTTGAAAATTTATTGGATACTTTTTTTAGTCTACTCGAACTGCCATAACTAAATACTACAGACTAAGTGGCTTAAACAACAGAACTGTAGTTTCCCGAAGTTTTGGGAGATTGGAGTTGGGTTTAGTTTCTGATGAGGTCTCTTCCTGGCTTGCAGATGGCTGTTTTCTCTCCATGCCTTCACACCGTTTCTCTGTCTGTGCAGTTGGAGCAGGGTCACTAATGTCTCTTCCTTTTCTAATAAGGACCCCAGTTATGGCAAATTAGGGTTCCTGCCCTGTTGACCTCCACTTATGTATGTATCTGTGTATGTATGTGTATATATTTGACAAAATCTCACTATGTTATAGAGGCTGGCCCCAATAACCTTGGCTCAAGAAATCCTGCCTCAGTCTCTCAAGTAGCTGACATTATAGATGTGTACCTGGTTGTGACCTCCATTTAACTTTCATTTCTTTTTTTTTTTTTTTTTTTTTTTTTTTTTTTTTGGTTTTTCGAGACAGGGTTTCTCTGTGTAGCTTTGCGCCTTTCCCAGAACTCCCTTTTGAGACCAGGCTGGCCTTGAACTCACAGAGATCTGCCTGCCTCTGCCTCCCGAGTGCTGGGATTAAGGGCATGCAACCACCGCCCGGCCTAACTTTCATTTCTAAAAGCTCTGTCTACAAGGACTTAGGGCTTTAGCATTCACTCCAAGATACCCAATTTAGCCACACCCAGATATCTACCAGCTACCAAGCTTTAGGAGATACCATGGTGGACAGAGTATGACATGAGGAGCTTTAAGTGAGGATTCAAACCTGTAGAAGACACTGGAGCTATGAATAAAATGCCTAAGAGCTCATAAAGAAAGAACTCAAGAGGTCACAATTGAGTTGGGCCTTAGGTAATACTGGTTGAATCTTCTAGGCAGAGGTAATAGTGTGCGGTACATTTCCTGTACAGTCATGTACTGCTTAACAATGGGGATATATTCTGAGAAGTGTGTTACAGGTGACTTTATGTTGCACATATATGAACATAATTAAACCTTTTATAGGTTTAAGTCAGTCCTTGTCATGGCTTCTTGATACAACTGGGATGCAGTAGACAGGTCTGTGAAGCTGTGTAAGCAGAAAGAGAATACTCTAATGATGGAAAGTATAGCCCCATAAGTACACAGACCAGTAACAGTCACTTATAACCATTGTCAAGTATTACACTCTGTACATGATGACATCTGATATACTTTTGTACTGGGCGTGGTGGCTCACAACTTTAATCCTAGCAATTTGGAGGCAGAGGCTGTGGGATTCGTCATTTTTGTGGCTTTGGGATGTCTCCTTTCATGAGTAACTTTTGTGTCCTTCTCTTCTGAGTTTAGAATCTAAGCTATGTGCAAGATCTAAACGTGTGTCAGTCCTTTCAAGAACCTGATCCTAAAGTCTCTCTAGACAGAATCTTTGCCTTGTGCTTTTATCCCCAGATGCTTCTCTCTCCCAACCCCCTTTCCATGTGTGTCGTGTATTTGAACCCTCTGCCTCGTTCCTTAGGCCTGACTTGTTCCTGAACACATGTCCTTGTCAATTCCGTGCTTCCTGCCCACCCCTGTCACTTTGAAGTACCTTCCTTTCTCTCCAGCTGAGACCCAGGTCATACATCGCTTGGACAGAATCAACTCACTGTTCCTTTTCAGAGTGTTTTCTTTCTATTAGGAATATTTGTTCGGGTGCACATAATAGATTTGGGTTGACTTTAAACCCCGTGACATAAGGGCTTTAATGCTTCTTCCACTGGAAGGAAATGGCCCTGGTGAGATGTTTATAGTCTTTTCTTATTCTTTCTCCTTTTTCGTAATCTATGAAATTTAATAATAACTTAAAATTCTCAATCCTGGAACAAGTGTGTCATCAGTTCAGATATTATCGTTGTATTTTTTATTTCTTTTTTAAACTATTATTGTGTGAATGTGTGCATGGTGGGAGCGTACAGGTCATGCACATGTGGAAGTCCGAGGAGAGTTTGTGGAGTTGGTTCTCTCCTCCCACCTTTATGTGGGTTCCAGAATTGAACTCAGGTTGTCAGACTTGTGTAACTTGCACCTTCACCTGCTTGGCTCTGTGCACTTAAGCTCCCTGTGATGGTAGAGATGTTCTCCATTTGTGCTGTCTACATGTAGTATTGGTGCTAACATGTAGCTCTTCAGCTTGTTAATATGCTGCTGTAATTGAAGGTTTTAAGAATTATTTATATTTTATCTGTATGGGCATTTTGCTAGCATGTAGAGGGCATCGGGTCCCCTTGGAACTGGAATTAAAGACAATTGTTAGTTCCCATGTGAATGCTGGGGATGAACCTAAGTTCTCTGGAAGAGTAGTCAATGCTCTGAACCACTGAGCCACCTCTCCAGCCCCCATAACTGAAGGTTTTAAATTACAAATTTCAGTTTAAATAACCTCACATGCTAGTGTCTGCTGTATCAAAAGCCTGACTTTAGATCATAGGTTGGTAATCCACTAGAACACAAGAAAGGAGGAAGATAGTCTACTTGGCAGCCCTCATTTGTAGATTCTGTTGATAAGATTGCAGAAGTAGTGGGTGGGTTCAGGGCTAACAAGATACTTCAGCAGGTAAAGTGCTTGCCACATGAGCCTTGCTATACCTGAGTTGATTCCCAGAACCTGTATAAACATGGAGAGAACCAAATCCACAAAGCCGTCTTCTGACTACATGCTCACCATGGCATATATGCACCCCCCTACACTAATACATTTTTAAAGAGGTAGATTCATTACCCAATTAATGCAGACAAATTACCTAATTAATACAGACAAAAGTTGTTGTGTAAAGGCGTGAATAGTATGTCCACATTGTTTTATTGGGAGGCTTTGTTTATCGTGATTAAGTTATAGCCGGTATTCAAACGCAAAAGTGGTTAAAGTTCAGCATCAATAAAAGCTCAGCAAATGTTAAGCTGCATAATCTTTTGCCTGGATTGCTGTGTCACCCTTCCAGCCAGTCTCCTTACATCTGTGCTAGTGTCCAG